CCCGGCGGGGTTCCGGATCCAACAAGGGCTACTTGCCTGCCTGCCTTTGTACCAGTGTTCTCTCATCTCACTGTCGCGTCCTTGTTTGCCCCCAGGCGCTTAAAAGTTTGTCCGTCTGTGTTTGTGTTACCTCACGAAAGCATACAGCGCGGCGCGAGAGGGGAGAAAGGCCAACACACCGCCCGCCTACGTCAAACAGTCGGCATGACTAAGCCTGCCTTTGTCTCATGGCCATCGCCTGCCAAATGGCGTGCAGTGATGATAGCCAGTAGGCGAGGGGTGACTTCTTTTTTTTTCCGACATGCAAAACGGACCATCGCTCGTTTGCTAAAGAAGTAGTGTCAAATCTTTTTTTCTATTGACAGCCTGGTACCTTGTGTAACAGTTTGTCCTTCACAAAATCAGTAGGCAATGGCTTTGTGTGCAGTTTGCGCTCCAATCACACTTCTGTCACGTCGCCTCATTAACTGCCCTTCTTTGAGACCGAAGACTTGCGTATCACTCTTGTCGTTTTCTAACTGCAAATGCCATATGCGAGTGATCGATCATGTATTGTAAAGTGGTCTGTACTCTGTTAAACACTAATCAGGGGACACAGTCCGTCCTCGGATGATCCTCTTTGAACCCAGTCGGGATTCCGACTTCCCCTTTCCGCTTGGGAGGTACGTTATGCACGTCCGGATGAATTGTCCTCCTTAATCTGAATCGAGTCACAGGTTGTCTTCTGTTACACGGATAACTTGTGCATTAAACGAAATTAAATATGGTCGGTTTTAGTGAGAGCCAAAGCGCTGGTCAATGTCTCCACATTGGTAAGGCCACTTTGTTTGCATTTCTAGGCTGCCTTCAGCGCATATGTGAAAAGTTGTGATTGAAGTAGCCACTTTTCGCGTCATTTCAAAAAGCTAGATCATAAAGTAGGACACAGGAATAGTTACCCCTCTCCCCTCCCCCGGCCGTTTTAAGTGGAACGCAAGCATTTAACGCCAAATAGGAGGAAACAAACAGAGCGCTGGAAGCCCTGTGACGTTTACATGTCACAAAAGTTTTTGCACTTACCGCCAACAGGCTTAACGCCGGGCAAATTCTTCGCTTCCAGCGCCCTATCCGAATATAGAAACGGCGCTGGGCCTACCCCTTGACTTTCTTTGGAATTGTTGAATTACGTACCAACAACACTTAATCTTAGCTCCGACAACGGTGGAATACTGCTCACAGCTGTTCGCCGTGGCTGTTCCTGCTGTAAAGCCGACTTTTATTTTATAATTCATACTTTGCTGTGAGCTGAAGCGCTAGTCAACTAGATTCGTTCCGCGTTATTGGTCCTACCTATTCGATCACACTGATAGTCTGGACAATCATCATTGCGAATTCACTAAAAGCCACACAACCTAGTACCTTCTCCGATGTCTGTCACAGCAGATGTCTGTTGTCGACACCAACTCTAGGAGAAGGGGAGATTTATTTTCCACTTTGTGCTATTCATAGGGCACGTGAAGGCGGGCCTATGACAGCATAACCATGGCTTGATAAATTTCCAAAATGGCATCAGGATGGTTTTCCCGTGAGCAAGGCTACCAGAGCCTTTTGTGTAGACATTGAATGGTTAATTTGCAGTTTATGTATTACATCTTATCTTGGCAGTGATTGCTTATTTCGAACTCGCAGTGTATATTCGATTCGCCGGTTTTTTTTTCGATATACCGCAACTTGCCAATCTCATGAAATGTCGCCGAAATACTGAAATGGGTTTTCGATTCGAACCTTTTTCTTAAGTAGGATCGTAATGTTTATTATCATGCAGCCTAGTCACCAAATATTTGCGTTACGTCAAAATCCCGGCTTTTGAATGAACTTTCTTACCGTCTGCAACGATTATACTGTGTAGGAAATGACTACTCAAGGAGTATTTATTTTTCTCATTTATTTCCCATCCTCTTATGAATTGCAATATCTTTTGTGTAAATTGTATACTCATTTTGTAGGAAATTAAGTCTTCTTCAAATTTTATACTCGGGGAAAGGGTATCTGTCGGGTTTAAAAAGCTTTTAATTATGACATTTTTGAAGATCTTGAAACGATCATTCAAAACATATCGTATCCATCAATTTATTACTGTGGCCTATAAAGCAAAATTTTATGAGCACTATGTGACCTCTTCTTCGTAGCGTAGAGAAAGGTGTGATTTACTTTCGAATTTACACGGCATGCATTTTAGAAACGTTGGATACAAGTCTGACGGTCGGCAGGGTTCAAAAGTATTCAGAAATGTAAAGTCGTTTTATAAGTGAAAGATGTAAAGCGTCTATTTTCCACATAGTATGATTTCTGCAGGCGCCCAGCAAGAAGCTCGTTCAAAGGTCGACATCCTGACGTGACTAAAATATCTTGTGAGTCAGCAGCACGATAGTCAACATTGCAAGCGAACTTAAGTAATTGGTCCGAATAGAAAACCCATTTAAGAATTTCGGATGACAGGGCAGGATATAGGCCGTCTAATGTAGGCCCGTCGTTACTGAATAAGTTGACGTACGTGTGGCATGTTTTAATTCCTTGGAGCCCATTTATGAAGGTGAATAAGCCTTTAAATTCGCCCCTTTTTTTCGACGCAAAAAAGTTTAAGTAATGTTTTTCGTAATTCATCGCCGTCACAGGCTTTATTCATCACAATTTAGTATATTCTCACGTTTTCCCTTCTCTTGCTGTCGTTTTTTTTAGCGCCGATGAGGGTGGTCAAATGTCCACGATGCGAGGCAAGGCTTCGAAGGAGAAAATGTGCACCTTTTCCTCCTGCGTGGGTTTCACTCGTGTAAGCGCCCACTTCCTGCCGTTATGATTGGTTACTTTGAATTAACTTCTCATGCTCAAATCCACCACTCTCCAGCAGCCGTATCCCGCCGTCAGGAAGGCAGTACTACCCCGCACCATGACAGCCAGAATCTGCATCAGTACGCTGCTGCGTCTTACCGCATCCTTCCAATGGGGCGAGTAAAATAGCCAATAGCCATGTCAAAAAAGTTGGTGCCGGGACTACTTTCGATGTTAACTTGTTCTTGCTCGGAGGACGATTGAATCTGTTTCGATGTTTAAGCTCTGTTTTGTTTCTGATTAGCTGGTCGACTATAACAAGTAGGCAAAAAGTGGTCACTCGTTTTCTGCATCTTTGTTCCAAGGCTTATTTCGATTACTGATTGATTCTTGTCTGACTGCCCGTCTTTGTTCGTATTTCAAGCGGAAGCAGTACTTTCTCCTCCACAAGCTCATCAGCTCGGAGGTGCCACATTCCCGCGTGGTTAATTATCATAGCGTCAGCCTGTTCAAGCTTTCCTGATGTCGTTCCGAATCCATTAAGTAACTATCTGTATGATTCGTCTCTGTGTCTGTCAGGATGCATGACTGGCCGCATAGAATCTGTCTGGTGGAGCTGTTTACATGACCTGTGAGCTGAGACCCTCCCTCCATGTCTGCCTTGGTGATGGTAGTTAGAGTGGCATTGTCGGTGATTAATTGTTATGCGACATGTTGGATGAGCTGCGGTCTCACAGTGCGGAGTCGATGCGGAAATGACTATCATTGTCTCAACATCGACATAGACCGGCAAACACAACTCTCGCGTGTCTCTACCAGTTCTCGACCTCAGTCAACCGACAGAGGCCAAGCCATGCGGCCTACGTAATTGGGGTGTTGGACTTGAATGCATAATTGTCCGCTGGACCCGCGTTCCAGCACCTGGGTTTGCAGTGTCGCTGGCTTATGTTGGCTACTAAGCCATACACAGTAATTCCGTCCCTCGCTCTGACTTTCGCGACCAAGTATCAAAAACGCGAACACTCCGTAACTAGGGCCATCTAAATTGGCCGTGAAGACAGTCTCAGTAAAGGATAGCCGAGTTATTCTGGCCGCCTGCAGCGTGCGAGCGAATAAGCAAGTTTCAGAAAGTGTACGCGTGCATGCTATGCCATTTGGTTTTCTAAGAATGCTGACATTTTTTGGTTCGCGTGGGCTTATTTTTAAACGAAGGCCTAGTAATATCAAGGACAAGAGAGGGTGTACTTTAATATAACAAAAATAGTAATTTTTCAGGCACGACTTTTGCCGGGTTTTCCCTTGCGGAGTCGAAGTCCAGTCTGGGATATGCCATTGCAAATCTCTGTGCCGATATCGAGTTGGCTGATGCCTATCGGTATTTCCATGTGTTCCGTTCTTTCCGAAGGTGTGATGGCGTGTTTTTAGTCTAGCTCTAAGGGAGAGACTCGATGCGTTACGTCCACCAAATATTCTACTCAAACCTCTCCGAAAGTATACTAGGGCAGGTGATATTTTGTCCCTTCCTCTACTCACTCGAAGCTGCATCGATCCGGAGGCTCTGGATTCCTGTCCTACTTTCGGCAGAAGAGGTTGACGCACAACTGCAGTCATTTTGAGGCACTTCCGGGGATGTGTCAGAGGCTGTATTCAGAATTGAAAAAATGTCTGTGTTTTAACTAAAAGCTTTCGCAAAATTCTAGAAGTAGTCAGCAGTGGAGTTACTATTACTGACTGTCTTCTTTATAGGTGTGTTAGAGGTTTATCGCTTGGAAAAATGTCACTTCACAAGGGATCTTATGGGGGATGACTGATTGCTGTTGATGTCACTACTTTCTCAAATCGAAGCCAATCACCTTAGTTGTCAAAGTTTTCTTTCTATTTGAACTGAAATATACTTTCCAATGTACGTCCCTATAGGTGCTAGCTGATGGTAGACGTGGTCAAAAATTGAATCTATGGTGTAGCGATTCGACTACCTGGTAGTCTTACGGTTGTTCCTATTTAGGGGCTACCCGAACTTTCGAGCGCGTATGTCGTCGTAATATGCGGAGTACTTAAATAAAGACAATTACGATAAAATTGCGTTAGCTAGTTCCTGCCCATTGAATAGGTTTGCATGTCTGGTATTTGTGAGGTCTGTAACAGTTACCCTAATTGGTGTCCGGGAAACGGGCTTTGCTGACTGTTTACACCTATTTTATATAAAATGCAGACAATTCTTCCTTGAGCTATACCAGTATGGGCTTTTGAAGTTAACTTACCTTGTTTTAGGTCTAATACGGGGAGTATAAGCAGCAATAGGGGGTTCGTTTCCTGAACATCCTCTATATCTCCGTCTTGTACCTTTGTTTACTTGACTGCTATTGAGCTTAATCTTATTTCTACCACAGACTCCGTTGCTAAGCGGGTAATGGTCGGTTCTACACCGGATGGGGACTATAGCACTCTTTAAATTATTTCACTGCCTGTCTCATTTTGCTCTCTTTCCCGTTTTGTTCTGGCGTAGGATGCTCCGTCTATGTACCCCAAAGATACAGCAAGGACGATTGCTCACGAGCTTGGCCACAGCTTGGGACTTCGGCACGACACTGAGGAGTGCGAATGCCAGGGCTGTGTCATGGCGACTGGTGTTGAGTGAGTCCAACCGCACTTTGCCTTTGCTCTTCTTCAGTCCCCCTGCCTAGTTGCTTACCAGAAACACCTTAGGCGTTTTTTTAATCTGATATGCGACTCAACTGCCTACACGCGTAGGTAATGCAACAAAGTTGGTGCTCTCATACCTTCGAGCACTCATATAAAGGGGGCAGCGGCGAAGCACGTGTCTGAGCTTTTAGGGAGTACCTGAGCTGTTATTATGGACTTTTATATAAACTGTGTCGATAAGCAGTTGATGTTGATAACATGTTGACGAGTTCGAGGTAGTCGGGGGGAATTCTAGCAATTTAGTATAGGCTGTGGATCTATGAACGCCCCCTACGGCCAAAAATATTTACTGTGACACATTTCAGACCACCGCCCCTCTCTCCGAATTCACGCCGAGTGTTCTACCGCGGAGATATCACAATCGTGCTACTGAGCTATGCTATTTTAAATTGGTGTCTCTTCTCCCTGACTCAAGGGGTGAACCTATTTTCAGTTAAAACGGCTTTTCTACTTATAAGTTATCTTTGTGCAGGTTACAGTTGTATTCGTTGTGAGTTCCTAATTTCCGTACCCCTTGTTTTTTACGTTACGCGTTATTTGAGATTGTAGACTATGTGAAATTGTATGATCACACCAGTTTATCTTCTGTGCTAATGGAATTTATCTTGCAGTATTAGCAGCAGAATCGTTCAGACTGATGAGAGGCGCATCTTACGAGTCAGAATGATGACACTAATTCGCGTGGTTGTCAGAGGTAACGATTGTAGCTCAGAAGTAGTGTCTCATAAAATATAGAGGAATGGCGGTTCGCGTCCATTCTGCAGCACGCGCCTTCGAGTTGCGTGCTGTTTCTTTTTACTGTGTATCTCGGCAATAAGTGTTTACTAGTAGCATTAAGCGCGGGTCTTTGTCGGGTTGGAAACACTAGATTTCTTATTGGCTTCAAATCCCTTTTCACTCGACGCATGACGTAGTAGCTGACTGATCTTCGCAGCTACGCAGTAGAAATGCGCCACATTCCTCCCTTGTGCAATGCCCCTAAATGTGGCGGTTGCACTGCACCAAAATGAGATTGCGCCACATTCGCATGATATCCTAGTCCTCACCGTGTACGCTTTTACCGGAAGCTGACGTCGGATGCAGTACTGCCCAAAGTCTCCTCATCAGTCGGCCAAGAAGTTGTCTAGTAGACTAATGGTGCATGACATTTCAGTGTTTTCCCCACATATCTGATGCACTAAAAGTCGGGGCTTGGAAAATTTCCACCTGACGGGCTGAATGGATTCTCTTTTGGAGCGAAGGTAAAACTACAGTAGCTCCGTTATATGGCCTTTTATGCACACCTGGTGTATGTGAGATTCAAGCTCGTGCATAGTATGCTTCCCTCCTTAAGCGGACCGCGTGGGAAATGCGTTGGACCAACATGGGGCCTAAATCAGAACACGGTAGGCGTTATTCGGGTTGCGTTCCCATGACAAATGCCGATCCTT